AGGAATGCCTTGAGCAAATTTCTTCAAATTTGGCACAAATGTCCACTTGAATTAAAGGATGAACTGATTAAAATATTGGTGGTCAAAGGTCAAAGTCAATGACCTCACTTCTGTCCCATTCCAGTGAATTTGACTGGTTGGTGGGAGGCATGCAACCACAAAGCTGTAACTCTAGTTACCAAAATGCTTTCTGCATGGTATGCATACAGAACTAGGTTCCTTTCCTAAGAGAAAAAAGAATAATGGCAAAAAGCACATCTTATTTTATGCTCCCTTAGTCAACATTAACACAAAATGAAATTTTTAAGCCCTCTGCCCTGGAAGACCTTGTCACTGAGGCTGACTGAGCTGACGTCTTTACTTCCAAGTGACGCAAACAGAGACACAGCTAATTTCTTGTGGGAGAAATAGGTACGGAGAAAATACAACACAGGGTGACATACTCAAATTGGAATGCAAAATGCTCTTCAGGCCCAAAACACAAACAGATGGCTTTAACTCTGCCTGAACTGTTGACATCTACCTGAGGAAACATTACAAAAAGTCTTTAGAGGATCTCATTTGATTAGCTGTTGCTTTTCCTCCACATTAAACAATAATGCTTTAGAGTGATACAAATCTTGATTTTGCCTGACCTGTCATTAGAATTCCTTCTTGAAGGGTTTTAAATATGATTTTACAGTACATAAACTGTGTCCTCAGTGGTGCAGTGTTAAATGTGTTTCCTTGATGTGTACATTTGTACACATTTGCAGGGATTGTTTATTTAGGCGCTTTGTGATTTCATACCTCCTGTGTGCGACAGCTCTCTCCAGACTCTGTTAACAGTTTGACTGGGGTGGAGCGCTGGGACACGGATCCATCATCGTCGCGGTCCTCCTCGGAGTCGTCCTCTGATGTGCTGGAGATGGCCTCCTCACTCGGGGGAGGAGGTGCGCTGGCTGCAGTCTTCCTCTGGAGCAGCGTCTCCTCCTTACTACTCTTGCTGCTGCCGATATTGGCACACACATGCACAGAGATCAGCATATAAATAAACAAACACAATTAGCGGCAATATATACATTACATGTAAAAAACAAAGGCATTTCTCCTTTATCAGATCGGGCATTTTCATCCCATCCATGTGTTGGCAAGCAACTCTCCAAATCAGGGCTGCAATTAATGATTATTTTCAACATGCCATTTAATTTCTCAGTCAAACATTTGATCTATAAATTGGCATAAATAAAGTGAAAAATGCCCAAAACCCAGTGATGCCTTCCAAGTAGCACAACACACCCACACACACGTGTAGTAAAACCTCACAAATTGAAATCTGGAACCAGAAAACATTTTTACTTGAAAAATGACAAATTATTAAACAAGTAAGAAAAGAGTTGCAGATTATTTTTCTCTCAACCAGTTAAGCAATTAACCAGCTAATTACTGCAGCTCTAGTTCAAATTATAGAAGTTAATATATTTGATTGCAGTGTAAAGACCTGAACGACATCTTTGTTGAGTTACTACTCCTTAACATTCAGAAGAGCACCTGATAATATTGAGCCACCTGTGCTTCCCTGTGAAGCTACACCAGGTATGACCATAGAGAAGAAGAGCAAACTTCAGAAGTCCTGAGAGAATCTGATGAAACCCCAGAAGGAGGTTAAAGATGTTCACTGGAAAATAATCTCTGGATTTCTTTACCAACCATGTAGCAACTGTAAACTGATGAAGAGAGGTGGCTAAAAGATGAACTGATCGCTGTACTGAAGGAAAACAGTGATGTGGTGTCTGTGAGTGTAAGCAACGTGTGCACATGTGATGCGGTAATGTTCAGAGCCAGTGAGTCAGGTCAATTATAACGGCTACCTACTCTACGTTTAAATAAGCAGACATATGTTGGCAAACTTGATGTGCCTGTGCTGCATTGATCTACCTCACCCAAACACACCCACGCCGTCTCTGCCTTACAACTATTCAAACAGGAAACATAAACTGGCTTAAGAGGGGGTGAAGTGCTCAACAGGTCAGAAATACAGACAGGTGCAATATTTTCCACACCTGATGATAATTTGTGACAGGTTTAGTAAATATCCTTTTAAGCTGCTGGGCTACCATGCGCCATCATAGCCGCTTCAGTGCTCCTTGGCTTTGATTCTACAAGTCTCTGAACTGTAGTGGAGGGAGGAACACTATCCTTCCAAAAGATAACCCCCTCTTTTTGATGATGGTGGTGGAGAGGCTGCCTAACACAGTGGTCCAAAATCTCCCATAGGTGTTCAGTTCCATACTCCTTAAAACCAGTCAGTGACCCCTCATACCGTATGGATGTCGGCACTGTCATCCTGGAACAGACCGCTCATTTATTCAGGTTTTTCCTTTAATGTGTCACGTCGGCTTCCAAAACCGTTACGCATTAAAGTAAAACATTTGAGGGGTACAGAACATTAAAATGTATGAAGCTGTTTCCTAATAGACATGATTATTTAAAAACAATAACACACAGGTGAATTTGAGCCTGTGTTCTAAGCAACGTCAGGAAAAAAAGGACAGCGTTGTTTTTGGTTACCTGAGAATGCGACGTCAAATGAAGCTGCATGTATGAGGGCACAGTGACATGGGATTTATTAGATCAAAACATCACAAACGTGGACATGTATAATGACTTAGATGCACTCACCTCAGCACTGATTTTCCTGTTTCCTCTGGCTTGCGAACTGTAAATGGGCTTGGATCCAGTCCGACTGTCTTGGGCACAAATTCCCTTTATGAAAACAAAAGAGAAGGAAACCCATTTGTTGTACCGTCACAATGACAGCTAATGAATGTATTCTATATCCTTTAAATGAGAAGTTTCTCATCAACAAAACCTACAATTTTGCCCAAAATATTTCAGCAATGTTGAAGTAAAAATTTGTCTCTGCTTGTGGATTACAATCATTTGTTTTTTTGTTTGTTTTTTTTGTCACTGAAAAAAAATGTTTGATTGCCGGGCCTTTTGTCTAAAGGGTTTTGTCTGTGTGTATTCACCTTGTAGAATTGGCCATGGCAATGCAGAATGTGTCATCAAAGCAAGTGAGCTCATATGGTTTAAAGAATTCTGTGTAGATATCAATACTCTCATCAAAGCGGTTCGCTCTCTTCACTTTGACCTTCTTCATCGTGTCCTGAGAGGGGACTGCATCCACACGGGTACACAGAGGGAAAAACAAGCATTACAGAACATTACTCCATATCCATTAAGCATATATCTGGTGATATTTTGTAAACATGTTGTTTGAAAAGACCAAAACCAACAATGTATGTACTGTAAGCTACTACAAGTTCTTGCCTCTGTAACCAAAGCCTGCAGCATACTCCTCTGTACTCATTAAAACACACCAACAAGCCACAGTAAGTTAAGGGTAGGTTAGATCTCATTGTGGGGTTCTGAAGATTTATGACAGCATGGTCTGCTGCTAGAAGTTCAATGATAATGGCCAATAGAGATGGTGAGAGTGGGCATCCTTGTCTAGTTCCTCGGTGAAGTGTGAAACTTTGTGAGGTGATAGTAAAAGTATGAATGAATTTCTGTTATGCATATTGCAGATATTAAATACTGAAAAAATACCTTCATCAAAGGCCACAGGAAGGGAGGACAGGATTCCTTCTGACCACCACAGCGTGTAGCTGAAGACAGACCAGATACACAAATGCATCAGCACCTTCCAGAAAACTGCCCACTGACTGATGTGTATTCTGCAGTCTGGGACGTCACATAACCTAGATATGAAAATTGGCTTATCCAGACTACCTACCATAAAATAATAATAATGTAATAATAACATTTATTTATAAAGCACCTACCAACTCAAAGAGCACTAGGTGCTACATCAAAAATTAAAACCAAAATCATCAGAATAAAAATCAGCTAAGTGGACATATGACGGGCACATACATTCATCGATCTATAGCATAATTCCTGTCCAGGCTGACAACCCTCAGAAAAGCTAGATTAAAGCTAAAATAAGATAGAAAGCCAAGAGGAGCCTTAGAGAGATTAAGCATAAAAAGCTTGTTTAAAAAAGAGATGTTTTCAGTGCCGATTTAAACAGAACCAGTTCAGTTATAGAGCGTAGATCTAATGGCAGAGCGTTCCACAATACCGGGCCGTATAAAACTCCTGGAAACATCAGCCCTATATTCAATATGACCAATATGAGAGAATGCACCAACTATTCTTTAGTGTGTGGTGTGCGCTTAGGTACATTTGAGAGCAAAAGCAGAGTGTGTGGCTGAAATATATTCAGGTCCAGTCATTTCTTAGAATAATAGCTGAGCCACCTAGGCCCATTGTGGCTGCATAAACTAAATGGCCCACAGCATAAAACTGGGTCTACTTTTATGTAAGCATGAAGACAGTTCATTCATACTAGGATACGCCAACACACATACACACAAATGACAAGGACAGATTAATTATGGGTCAAAACATGCAAGATGTGGGATAGAGCTTCTTTGGCTTGTAAAACACACTCTGCTGTTATGAAACACGCTTACTGTATGTGACCCTTGTCCAGGTGAAGAGGAAGCTTAATAGCAACTAATCAGAATGACCACAAAAGCAATCGAACAACCTTCACATTCATGGCAGAGCTACACAGCCTGGACTTAAAAAAACAAAAAACAAAAAAAAAACACCCTTTCAAAAGCCACAGTGAAGCAGCTAATCTTTTGTGAGTGACAAATTTCCCACTGACAAATTGAGATGTTGTGTGTACTGTATGTCACATCTCGTCGTGCATGTATGGAGATTTCTGTACACATAAAATATGCATAGCATGTTTATATAATTATGGTAGTAGGTTTAAAATTGTGCATGTACTGGATGTACATTAAGTAGTTTTGTGTGTGTGTGTGTGTGTACCTGCGTCTGTCTTGGGGGAGGGCCATGGTGCTCCTCTGATGCAGGTAGAAGTCAGTGGGCAGCTCCCACAGGTGCGGCTTGGACTCTGATGGCTCGTAGACTTGGAGGAACAGGTTGATGGCATCTTGTCTGTCTGCATCTGGAGAGCCAGGTGGATACAATGATGACAAAAAAACAAAACAAAACATAGTAATAAATGGTACATAGGCAAAAGATAATTCATAAGGCAAAAATAAAGGTTGTTGTGAATTTTTTTCCCCCTACATTTCTATATCATTTGTCCCTTCTGTTAAACAAGGGTTTGGCTGAGGGATTTCAGTTACACATTTTTCATGCACAATGCCAAAGATTGCATCAGCTCAGGTTGTGATTACTTGCCGTTTTTCTTAGTTTGATGTGATATTCAATTGATTCATTTTGTGTTTTACACTGTTCACTGATCAGACAAAACAAGATGTCTAAATACATCATTAGCCTTTTTATGGACGAAACAATTAATCAGTCAATTAAGGAAATACTTGGCAGATTAATACATAATAACAAAAATAATCATCAACAGCAGTTCTACATGAATCAGATCTGTGGTGTGAATAAGCCAAGTAACCTCTGACTGACTTAGCAGAATATCTGTGTTATCCAATCTTCTGCAAAGTCATTATAACACAAAGTCTATTATCTTTTTCAGCTGCATCTCACAGTCTTCAGTTGTGGATTGATTGTAATGGAGCTGGTTCAGCTGTGTACATTTTATATATTATTATTTTACAACCATCTGGTATCATGTTGCCAAAGTTCCACATGAGAAAACTCCATCTAGAGATCTGACTGGAACATGCCGCTAAGTGGACCAGTGTTAAAATTATTTTTTGACTTTGGAGCCAGTTGTTTCAAAAACTGAATTTTCAGCCTGTGTTTTGTTTACCCACTGTGCCGTCATCTGTCACCAGACCTTTTCAGTTACGTGAGCTTGACGAGGTTTAGTTAGCCTAACATACTGCCAATTATATCAAGTGAACTAAATTATCTACTATGCAATCAACAACAAAAAAACAAAAATAACAGCAGAGACCACAAAGGTGTCAATTAATGAAATACAAGTAAAGGTGAACTCATTCAACTGCGGGTTCTCTCCACATTAACACGAACTGCACGAGTATAAAGGTCCCCAGTGCACCTTTTGTCGCCATGTTTGACTGTGTCAACGCCCTAAGATAATCTCTGTGTTTGTGTGTTCAGCATGTGGCACGTGTTTTGTATGTTGGCCAGTTTGATGCCATTTAAGCCGCCCTCCAACTGCGAAGCCACGTGCATATTGCTCCAATTGTCACATTTGATAATTGGGGAATAAAGTGGGTTCTATTATTAAAGCCTTCTAGAAAGCTTTTTCTCTAGGTAATTTTCAGGCTGAGGTTCATTCATACATCACAGGATAAGAGTTGTGGATGATGGGTGGACACAATACACACATGTAACAGAAGTTACACGTGTGCATTATGTTTTGAGACAATGGGATAATGCATTATGAATAATATAGAGAGTAATATCTATCAAACAAAATTAGATCCTGGTTACAATTTTAAAAGAGAGAAAACGCATGAATTAGGGAAAATTTTGTGCTGTAAAAGACTAGTAGTGCATAAATATTACCTGGATGTACTGTATGTGTGTAATCTATATGTATATGTGAATACACATATAATATGGATGAAGTTTGAGATAAAATGGACAGGAAAACGAGTCCCTTAGTAATTATATTTGTGCAGGATTGATGTCTGTAGGAGACACTCAAGGATGTTGTGTGGCTAATGCAGCACACACCTGAGAAAGCATTGCTGTAGTAGCGCGACAGCGTCTGCATGATGTCTTTGGAGTGCTGAGTCCACGGGGCGATCTTCCGGTAGGTCTTGACCCTGTGGACCAGCTGGGAGCCGCCGTACTGCAGCGAAAGAGAGTCTCCCTGGGCCTCATTCCGCTCCTCACCTGAAGTACACACACACACACACACACACACACACCACACAAAAATACAAATTTAGACACAAGCAATGGACAAAGGAAATAGGCACGCGGTCCTTCGGTCAGAATCTTATTTTGGGGTGTTAACGTACAGCTAGAATACAATTCCCATTGGTTAAAAGGTCCCATGAAGAGCTGACAACAACAATTCAAACACAAAGCCTTGTTCTCCAAGGTCCATACATTCTGATCAGGTCTTCTCCAGTGTGACCTCAGACAAAAACAGAGCTGCATGAAGCAATTTCAGTGTCCAGGTAGAACTAGGATATGGGCACCAGAACAGAACTGCAAGTGAGGAATAAAAGACTGGTGTGGCTGTGTGGAATGTGTGTGCAAATTAGATTTGTGTAGCCCTTCTAAATGTAAAAAGAGATAGTAAATGCATGAGTTTTCAATATTATATATACACACATACAGCATATTGAAATATAGCTACAGTGACCATCATTTTTCATTTTGATAAAAAACACACATACTGTACCAGCTGTTTTAAAATTAAACTTTTTCTCCTACTGTAACTTTTATAAGGACATAATAAGGCATAAACACACACAACAAACAAATTTCTTTTTTTGTTCCTTACAATACGTATAATACAGTACATGCAATACATAGTGTATGATAATGTAAGAAGCATTACCTCACACAGTCAGTATCAAACTGCAGCTTGGGCTTGTCAATCATTCCGAGTGCATAAAGCTGATAGGCCAGTGCACACTTCCCCACCATGAACTGGGCGGTATTGGTCCGGTCCAGACAATCCACACAGTTGGTCCGCAACACACCAGTCTACAATGACCAAGGCTTATAAAACTTGATGACACAACCTTATTAAATCTACAGACTGTTTAGCATCAACAGCAAACTTATTTCCATGTATTTACCTTCTGTGAGTGAGAGCAATTAAAATGATGGTAAACAGCTTAGATCATTCCAGGAAGACCACTGAATACATAATCAAGGTTTCAATGAAAACTAATAAAACTTCTCATTATGCACCTTAAATGTGAACACAGTGGCAACAAAAACTGTTTCCTTGGCTAAAATATCTCAGTGCCATGAACTGATACAGTATGTGGGTTTACAACCTTATATGATGCAATTGATTAAAAAGTCCCTGCTTGCTCTACTTTTTTTCCCTTTATATTTTCACATAGTAAAAGCTGCAAAGGACTGAAGTTTTTATATCATTTTGTGAAAACAGGTTTCTATATGGCATACCTGCAGTCTTCCACTGGCTGTGATGGATCCACCCACATCTCCCCACCTGAGAACATAAGATTTAATACAGGTGAGAGGCTAGAATATAGAAAACTGTTCCCCGTTTCCAGTATCAATACAAGCTAACTGGCTGCTGGCTATAGATACAAGAGTGATATTAATCTGATTTATTTTTTTATATTTTTGATATTTACTTGTCTTGGATTTGTCATTATATATCCATTGATGTACAGCACTTTGGTTAACCCCTGTTGTTTTAAATGTACTTATAAATGCTCAGCAAAAAAGGTGCGTATTGCTCAAAATCTGGGGATTACTCCTTTAAAATGAAAGGATGACTAATTTTTTTAGTTTTACAGCTTAAAGTCAAACAACAGTTAGACACTGAGCAAAGTCCACCTTTGGTTCTGGATGTTCTTTCTTTCTTGCCCAATTCAAAATGATATTCATCACTTTCTTTTTAGTGTTCTCCCAAAACAGCAATAGGCAAGAAAAAAATCCCTCTGAGACACAGAAGCCTCTAACCTGCTGAAAAGGGAGAGATCTGAAGACAAAATCCAATAGTTGTTAAAGGGTGAGTTTTAAAGCAAAGTGCATCTCTACACAACATGAACTCAGTGAACTGACCGAGACCAATGAGCAACTGTAGTTGAACTGTATCTGAAAAAATGTTAAGAAAGCTGTGATCATCATTATTCATGAGTTAATTTATACATGTGATGAATGCCATAAATCCATAAGAGCTTATGAGGGTTTTTTTTTTTGAGAGTCTACATGGGACTGTGTGCATGAGTGTGAAGTGAGAGCGTATTACAAAGAAAGTGAGACAGAGTTGGGTAATGCAAAAAAAAAAAAAGGGGGTAATAAATACTGGTCATGGCGTAGTCGCTGGGTTACGTAACAGAATGGTAATGTTAGATGAAAGTGATTAAGACAATGGAAGAGCCGTATCCTGCATTACGTACATGGATGGCAATTTACTAAGCTCATTAGCAGAAAACCCTCCATAACACAACACAACCGCCACCAGACATAATTTCCATCAAGAATTCAGATCTGGAGAGTTGATAAATGTACGAGTCTCAGTACGTAAAGTATAATGACAAAAATGAATAATACACTTGCTCTTAGAAAAAAATGTCGATATGCAAATGCAGAGAAGATGGTGTTGCTGTGCAGCACATGGCCGCTGGCAAAACAACTTGCTTTTTCTTACACTTTCTCACATATAGTTGGAGCATAATTTTTTGACCCAGTTATTTCTTGGTAAAACAACTGTGCTGTTAAATGCACAGAGTGCTCATGAACAGTTTCTGAGTTTGTTTAGTTTTGGCTTCATATTTATGCAATAGTAGGTGTGTCTGTTTTGGGCACTGAAAAAAAGCTCGAAATCTGGTCCAAAAGATTTGTTTCTATACTCTGTTTTCGAGAGAAACAACCAAGGCGGTGTAGAATAAAATAAATAAATAAATAAATAAATAAAACACTCACCTGTCATCTGGTCTGAGGGTGTGACAGTAAAAGTCAGATCGATTAATAAAGAAACCTGTCCTCTTGACCACGTTCTCCGCTATCATACTCAGACGGTCCAGAACGTTGCACAACTTGCTAAGAGAAAGAGAGAAGTGAAACATCAAATTAGTATTTGCTCCCAAAAAACAAACAAACAAACAAACAAAAAAACAAATCAACCCAATTCTTGTGTCTTGTGCCAATTATTGTCACAACCTCTTGGTGTAGCGGGCCATGTCCCAGGCGATGTAGTCAATGCAGTGATCTGGAGGCAGGAACTGATTTAGGTTGATCACAGCTGGGTAGAGCTCTTCACTCAAAATCTTCTCATGTTTCCTCTTTTCCCGTTTCTGTAACACAACACAGAGACATACTCCATATCACATGTATGACTCTGGCTCTATTACCAAAGCGCTAAGAGAGTCCGATATTTAGGTGGTGGTAATGTACAGTTATAACAAAATTCCAGTTGCCTAAAAAAGTTCAATGATGATTTGAGCAGATACCACCAGACAGATGTTTATTCCCTTTTAGTGCACTCACATACCTCAGATCTATTCAGGCATTTACCATGGTGACCTCAGAGAAGGGTTCAAGCAGACACCTTCACTTTCAGCACATTTTATTGTAAATTATGGTATTATAGTTGTGATTTTAGGATAAAATGGCCATCCAATCTGCACTCAATAACCCCCAATAACAAAGCAAACATATGGCAAATTGAAATGATTGGACGTAGTTTCAAAAGGCACATATCTATGTATCTTCGGGACAAAAAACAAGCCAACCAAGTCCAAGAACCTCGCTGTAAACCTTCATGATAAAATTGTGCTGAGGCATAGAACATTATGGCAACAATATAAAGCCATTTCTAAATCTTTGAGTGCTCCCAAGTGCACAGTAGCTGCAATAATTGTTAAATGAAAGAAGAATGAATTGAATGACTAAGTTAAAAGACAGCAAACTGCTCTGAAAAGCCTGCCTTCTGTTGGTTTTACTGTTTCTGAAGTTCAGGTTTTTTTTTTCTTAATTCACAGAGGGGGGGAAATGATTTTTTTGTTAATAAAAGCAATTGCACACAGTCTTTCTTTCTATAAAGTTATTTCTTCGTGTAATCCTCCACCCCTCACTGTGTCCTTTTGACTACCTAACCTGGATGTTAATCAGCTTAGATGCATCATTTAGCAGCTCACGTCTCCATCCACACATGCAGCTGGTAGCAAAGCAACACAGTCACCAGTCAAATTATTAAAGCACTTCCTCACCCATTCAGTAGAGCATGTCATACACTCTGGCACATGCACACTCACTTTCTAGACACAGATGAGAGACTCCAGTGTGCACCACATTTGCACATGTACTTATGAAAGCAGGCGTCCTGTTGACAGGTATGAGCCAACATACAAATACCACAATATTTATCAAGGTCGCAGGTGTACGAAGGTACAGTCACAGATCACGAATGAATACAGAGTCACATGTTCATACAAGTGGAGATTGGTCATGGGACATTGTAATGTAAATTACTTCAATTATCACACAGTAAAAGGTGTGTTTACTTTTTTTTTTTTAATGATTTGCTCACGTTTACTCCACTTCCTTTTGTGTGATGATGACATGCTTGTTGGTTGCTGCCATTTAAAAATCATCTCCCAAAGTTAAAACAAATGGACTCTAAGCCGACTGGTTGTAAAAGTGATTCACATGCTTGGTCATGTGTGCTCTTCCTCTCCCCTCTTAATTCACACACTTTGAAACATGCACCAACCCATGACAAAACCATGCACCCATTGTGGAGTTGACATGACCATATGGACCCCAGTCACCACCACAGAGAGATGATTTTATGGTTAAGTGCCAATTCCATCCTCCTTCTGTTTCACTGGGAGAGAGAGGATGTAGTGTATAAGCTGGGGGTCCCCTCCCTTACTCCCCACAGTCTGCAAATATCACATGGCCACAGCTTGTGCAGACCTCTGAGGTCTACGATTGGTCCCTTGTCTCACGACTCTCGTGTTAAATGAAAACATGAGCATAAAGACCAAGCCACATGTATACGACTAAGGGCCCGAGTGTGTCCATGCAAAAAGTCAAAGCAAGAACTACCAGTAGAGCACTGGCTCAGAAATGAAACCATATAACAGCTTTGCACACAGGGACGGGAATAAAATCAAAATCAATATACAATACCCCATAAAACCTTTTGTTTACTTTATTGTGTCATTTTTAAGAATGAAATGCCTTAAAGCATCTCATTAGTATTAAACTTTTCAAATCTTTGGAATATAAATTTAACTTGATGATTGAAGCTTATATTACAGCAACATAATGTAAAGTTGGGAAAAGCCATAAGTGTTGTTGCAAGTGTGTATCTTCCCTTTTATCTCTGCTGTCTGTGTGTTTTCGAAGCAATGCAGAGGCAGAATATTCAGGGTAGCATTTCAACTGCTAGTAATCACCTACCACCAGGAAAAACGCAGTAACGAACAGATACACACACACACACACACACACATACACACAAAACGTCCTTATTAGATAACTACCTGTTGAATGATTCCACAGGCCTGGTATATTTCATCCCAAAGTCCACATCAATGATTTACAAAGATCCATTTTAAACAATCCTCACACTAAGAAGCCAGTCTTCTAAAACTAATTCCAGTATTTTACAACATATTTTATTTAGGTACCGTACTGTCACTACTGTATAGGTAAGCACGCTCCAGTAGAGCGATCTTGTTTGCCGTCGCTCCACTGAAAACAGTGAGTTCATGTTCCTGATTATGTTTAATGTAGATGTTGTAAACCACCAATTTTCCATTTAACACAACATGACGTTTCCCAGAAAATACAGTAATTCCTAAATGAAAATTTCTTCCTTTGGTACGTTGTCTTCTTGTCTCTCGTCTTCTTTATTGACATTTAAACAAAATAGATGGAGGCGGCAATTTCAATAAGTGAGGAAACTAAAGAGGTGTGAATCTACTAAGTAAGATCCAAAAACACCAAAGATGAGATCTCCAACAGTGTATTTGAGTCATTAAATCTCGATTCTGAGTCAAGTGCAAGTCACCAAAGTATAGTCAGAATACAGTCTGAGCCAAGTCCCCAGTTACCGAGTCCGAATCATCGAGGTCTACGCTGAACACAACTGACACAGTTCTCAGTGTAGTGCATCACCACACTGCGACATGGACACTTCATGTACCAAATACAGAATGGTGCAGGTGAACAGATTCTAGTATCTTATTCAAAAAATATCATTGTTTATATAAAAAAAAGTGAGTCTGAGTTTGAGTCTCCAACTTCCGTGTACAAATGCTCAAGTCCAAGTCAAGTCACAAGTCCTGAAAACCAGGACTCAGGTCTGACTCTAGTCCAAGACGTGGACTTCAGTACTAAACACTGCCAAAGGAACACACCATCTCACCATACTGTAACTACTGTGCATGTGTGTTACCTTAACCAGGTTGAGGATGATGATAGGAGAGCCAAACCGCTGCAGCATCTGGTCAAAATGTAGGGCAGCTACATGGGCATACGGGTCCGCTTGGTCCACTGAAAGAGAAGTCAGACTGAACTTTAACTTGCTTTAACTGTAAAATGCATTAAGGGAATCACGTGTTACCAAGTAGCTCAAAATCTCGGATCAATCCATCTGGTTGTCCCTGCTCAAAGTTTCAACCAAGATTCAGCAGCCAGAAGATAGATCAGATGAAAGAGGTCAGATCATGCCGTTGTTCATCAGACATCTGAAAACTGACTAAACAAATCCGAGCTCTCCATCATATAGCTTCCCTCCCCTACTATTTCATCATCATTTCGCCCATTCCACCTTTCCTCAGGCCTCCATGGAGAGTTTATATAAACACAAAGAAAACGTCCTATAACATTCTCATTGCATTCTAATGTACTATAACAGTGACTCCTGACAGCCATGGCAGAGGCGATCCCAAGTGCGATGAATGTACTCACAGAGCTCTGACTCTCCTGTTGCTGACCTAGATTTGTCTAATAGATGTCATTTTATGTAGTCTACATCAAAATCAAATATATTTAACAACTGTAGTGATTGTGAATTAACTGTGTAATTTGAGCTTTGACTTGTTGAGGCTTCATGTCAGCTTCATAGTAGATAAGGTTGTAATAGAATGAGATATTCAAAACTGGTGTAAAATACAAAACTCTAAAATCCTACTGAGTCAAACTGAATTGCTCATCCCTATTGACCATGACAAATAATATCGGTGTAATTTTAAAATTGACTCTTAGTTGGAAGAAAAAAGTTTTTTGGAAGATATCAGAATTATTTCTTTTTCTCTTAGCCTCTGAATAGGTGTGTCAATATACATGTTTAACAGAATTTTCAAGGAGGGGGGGCCTTGTGGAAAGAAGTCAGGGAGGAAGGTATGGGTGAGGAGGTTTCCATAGGATCTGTTTTAAGGAGAAAGCACCTCCAGTGACAACAGGAGACTTTGTGATATGTGGATGTGGATTGTCCTGAGTAACAACAACTGTTGCTGTTGAATTTTCTACATATAGGTCATAGACTGCCGGCTGCCATCTCAGATTGAAATCTAACTATCTTAAAGGCCATATGTCACAAGGAAGAAGCATAAACATTTTCAATTTTTAACATTTAAAGTGACTCTTTAATGAACTGTGAGGGTGAGGAGGTCCAGCACCGTGCTGCACTCATCCTGAGCACAGCATGATTTCACTGCCTGAACTTGCTGAACCTGGAATCTCCGTGCAACAGCTACCCATTCTCAGAAGATGTAACTAATTAATGAAGTTTCAGCTGCTGTGCCACATGCCTGAACTGCACACACAGCCCCTCTCTCATCAATCCTGTTGCTGTGGGTTGACCACAGCAATTAATTAAAGTCAAAGAAAAGGGGTTACATTTTACATTGATCAGCCTGAGACAGCATCCGAGGGTCATTTATAAAGTATGTTTATAAAGTTATACAGTGCTAATAAAAGACTTTTTGATACAGTAATTATAACACACAAAAAGGTTTTGAGGTATCTGTAGATTACTTGAGTATTTTGATTTTGTCCTGCTTCATACTTTGACTACAACAGGCAAACTGTCTGTAGATACATATACAAAAAAAACAAAACACATTCAGAGATATACTGATGGTGCAAATCAGGCAACAGTTGGGAAATGTCAGATGGGGACTGTCTTTAAAGATCAAAGTGGGGCCAGGATGGTGAGGTAAGCTGATACACAAAGGGATCTAGGGGACACGCTCAGTGTCTCTATCTTACACAGGTAAATGTCATCCAAGGATGAATTAAAGGGCAAACTGGGAGGAAAATAGATTATGATTTAATACTGGCATTGTACACATGCAAGCACCAGTGTCTTCCTGTGTATACACACTCACAGCAGTCACTGATGTCATCAGTCTTAGGGACCTGATCACCTCCTCCTGGCCCTGGTTTTGTGTTTTGATCCTACTCATAATGAAATATGGATACAAAGATGAAATCCAATAGTGGGGTGTCCTGCCTTCACCTGTTACTTTATTTTTCTTATCTTTGTGGCAGTGGTGGAGAAGAATGGCCTTAGTACAAAGCCATTCTTTATTTTAATGGTGTGTTTCTGATTACATTTGTCTCCTGTCCCTACAGGGTAATGTGTGATGTTGGACACAGAGCATTATAAATAAATAGTTACCCATTTCATTTGTTAACTTGTCCTTGTGCAGAGGGGCAAATCGGTGCCTGAGCAGCTTTTCCATGATAAAGCCAAGCCAGGACAAAATTTTGTGATCACATACAGTTTAAGAAATGATGTTTGATATCTCAAACAAGTTATTCTGACAATGGGGGGGAAAAAAAGAGGATGCTGAGGTACTGAATAAGACAGAATATAAACAGCAGTCTTACATCGTATGGGGGGTTTTGGCATCATGGTGGAAATGTCCTGAGACCAGTAGAGTGGGACTGACCCTCGCACTTGGACGTATGAGGAGAAACTTCCTGCCGTAAAAGACATAACAGAAGCGTCATGGACGATCTGCTCCGTCTCCACCTCATTAGCCACATCCCCCTGGAAACAAAAGAAGAGCACAAAGAAGAGATAAAAAGAGAAACTGGTCACAAGGTCCATTTAATAACAGATCTGGAGCTTTCAATCATATCACATGTTCATCAGCAGATGCGCTTTGTCAAGTTGTCTGGAAACTATAGATGTTAAATTTCTCATTCTTTTTCCTTTCAGTGCTGAATTGGCCATCTAAATTTTAATCATGTCCATGTTCTGCTGGAGATCATGTCTTGTGACTAAAAGGCTCACAACAGCCACTAAACTGCTGCTTTTAAGGTCAAGAATGAACTTTGCACCTCAGGATCTTTTTAGAAATACTGAAAATGTATACAGTGGTTTAGTTGATGTTCTAGAGCTTTCAATTCACACGACATGGGCTTCATCAACAGATGGGCATGATCAAGACCGATGAGAATTTCATTCCTCAAGAGATAAACTGCAAAAACAAAAAGTCCAGGAAGTGTTTTGAGCAACTTTAATGAGAAGATCAGCTGCCATTTTCAAGGTCAAGAATGACCTCTGAACCTCAGCATGAATAAATGCATAAAAATGTGAACGTGTCCAAACTAATCTCAGCATAGCAGTTCAAACTGAAAGAGGCAATTGTATGGCTGTCCCTAAAGTTCCTCCCTCCTTCCACCACACACCTACACAAAAAGAGAAGAAGCAGCAGGCCAAATTAACTCCCTGTGAGCAACCTGAGTCACCTCAAACATCACAGTGGCCCTCAGCCCTGCCCCCACTTTCTATTCTTCCCTGTTGCCTCAGCAACCGCTGTACCTCGCAGTTGGCTCCTCTTTTAAGGAAGCGTGTCCCGGCAAATTTGCTGGAGCGTCTGGCAATGAGAGTGATGTGAACAGGTCGGCCATAAATCAGAAGCTCTGTGATTGGTAGTTAAAGGAGGAACAACACTGATAATACACAACCCCCTGTTTGGAAACCCACATACAGCTTATATTCACAGACATAATTTGACTTAATGTTTAATATTAAATTGGTCTTTTTTGTAACCCCCTGTTACATTTTAAACCAAACACACACTTGTATTGAACCTCCTTCACAAATGATTTATTTTTCACCTTAAGTCAGTGGAAAAGTAAGTATTACAACAACATTGGCATCTTTATTACAGTAATATCACTGATAAACTCAAAGTACAGTATTTCTGTATTTTCCCTATCTGCAGAGTCTTCCTAATTGTACCCACTGACCCTTTCAGGCTCACAGACAAACAGCAATGAAGGCCAAACAGTTTCTAGCAATTGTCTAAACTCAAAGCGCCCACACAATGTCACCGTGGCAGCACGCCGCCTGATAGGAGACGACAGTGTGGAAGAGTCACGTGTGCCTAGTTTATCTACTTGCTAACGGTTAGTCTGCAACAAAACAAAGCTTTAACAAAAACACAAAGGCTTGCGCTAAAATATTAATTCATTAAACAAACAAAAAATACCAATAAAATAAGAGTAACTCTTTTGAATAAAATGTAAAAAGCCAAGAAATTCACAGTGCTTAGTGTGCTTTATGAAAAAAGAAAAAAAAAAACTCCTCAAACTGAGGTAAAATTATTCATTTAGCACCTAATATAAATCCCTCGGATGTAATTTGTGTCTAGTCAAAATGACAAAGCAACTGCTACTGCAGCACTGAAATGAAAGACAAAAATAAAATAAAAAGCTAATAAAAAATGTGTGCATTCCATCAAACACGAGCCTCATCTTTTCATCCAAAAATAGAAAAACAATGCATCTCATCTGATTAAATCTGCACACTTCTGCACCATTTTCCCAGCAGGTAACAGATGAAGATTAAGCAAGTGACATTGTTTACATACCTGATAACCACTGCTTAATTGTAATTCTACTTGTTTTGCTAATGGCCTCAAAGTAAACACTAATTGCTTTACAGTTTTGTGGTGAATCACAGGTTCTTGCTCGGTGTGATCCACGTGCTCTGATAGAGACAGAGTAACTGAACAATGGTGCAGAGACATGAGGGGGAGCGTCAACAAAGGAGGACACAGTTTTTGTGTCATACATTTGTGTCTTCTACTAGTGTATGAACATTGATGTTGAATATGTGTGTAAATAAATACACAAACACACACACACACAATTAGCGTTACAAAAAAAGGACATGCTTTAACACAACTGATTGAAAAGCGTTCAAAGGATACTAGACTGGCCACAAAAGCCGTGGATTATGTACATGAGCCAGTCATGGTGTACTGTGTCCTTGACCCGTTCCAGCAGTTTCCCATTCCACACGTATTTATAGTACGGCTCGTTCTGGAGGCCATAAACCACTGTGGCGGAAGAGTAGGAACACATAAAACCTGTGGATCACTATACTGACCTGGGTTAGTACCAGATTATCATCATTATCTGAAATGACACATGCTGTGGAAAAAAGCATGCTTAGAAACTTCTGTATTCAGCTCCTGTAACTGGGATAAAGTTTACATTATTGCATGACAATACACACAATAAATCAGAAAACATTATCAATCACAACTCGAGTTACTTTTCAGTGGACTTCAGTGACTTCAACAAGGTATGGTAAACCTATAGCAGAGTAGAACTGAAGCTCCTGACTGCAGCAAGTATAGTATATCAGTGAGTTTACACTTACTGGGCATTAATGGCAACAGGAAAGAAACAACAATTACACTGACATCAATATTAATAGTAGTCAGATAGACAGACAACTGATAAAACAAAGATGGATTTAATTCCCATGGCATTGTGTTGTAACTGCTCTAAGCCATTGTGAGCCAAATAACCTCCATCAGAACTTTAACTATTACACTGGATAAAGGCTACAGTCCATTCATTCTGCTCACTCAAGTCCTGCTTCTCCTCTCTTCTCCAACCTTACAGCAGCCTGTAAGGCTTCTCATCCTAACACCCACCACAACCCAAGCCCCCACCTCCCATTGTAAAGTGGAGTATGGTGCTTCTACAGTGTGCTCTGTCAAGGTTTTCTCCAGCCAAAAGAGCAAAAAAAATGAATCTAAGGCCTGTCTATTGATTCACTTCTCTTACCTTGGGTGGGCAAACCCTCATCTTCAAAGATGTCAAAGCAATCCTGTTTGGTCTGCGTATGTACCTCTTCCTCAGTGGAAGAAGCTGCTGAAAACCACAGGTCATACGGCCTCTGCAGTAAAGTCAGGTTGTACTGCAGCGAGTGACTCAGGTCATAGCTGTAACTGCAAGTTACAACAGCAGTGTCATTTCAAATGGGTACAGCCTGTACAGTCTCATAATGAACTTAAGAATTGGCTAAACCACATAAATAAAGTTATATACCATTTCACCACATGTTGCACACTTGGACAGAACTATATTTTATGCCAGACATTACTGTTAAGTTGTCACCAAAATGTATGACCTGCTAGACTTACAGTAATATCCACAAGGGGGCTCATATACAGTCAGTCTTTCCAGCACCCACAGTGGCTAATAATCTTTTAACATATTCCTGTGTCCAAATTATGACACAGATCAGCACCAATATTTAAGCAATTGTGCCATACGCTACCTCCCCAAACATTTCAGCTAAATCCGTTCATTACCTCGAGTTATGCTGTTAACAAACAAACAAACAAATCAACCAGCCATCAAACACAGAGAAACGTTAACACCTACCCTTGGTGAAGGTAAAAATATTCAATCAACTCTTAGGCTGTGTGCAGCCTCATTAACAAAGGTAAAATAATTTAACAATGGGGGAAAATAAATCTGGGGAACCTTTTTCATCTGGATCCAATTCAGCATTAAAATGCACAGACATTCACAAAAACAGTGTCTGATTTATGTTACCTGAAGTAGAAGTTGCTGGAGAGGTCCACATTCTGAAAGATCCGCACATACCTATGAGAGGAAAACTCAGTCAGCGTCACATCTAAGAGTAAAAAGAGTCCGACCGATCCAGATGGATTTATCTTTAATATGATATTCAGTGATTCCTAATGAAGTCATTTTATCACAACAGTAAATAAAAAAAATATGCTGCACTATACACAGTACACTCATTTGTTTTCTGTGCAGTTCAGACAGATTCAGAAATGGCATATCTTTGTATTGTGAGTCAAATAATAAAACACTGGTAAGGTGCTGTTCATTAAGTTAACAGTGATGGTCTATACCTGGAAAATAATGAACACGGGTCACATGATTTTAAATTGCACCCTTATAAGTCTAGAAAAGGAAGGGGGAGAAGACGACAGCACCTTGCTTCATCGGGGTGTGTAACCCTGACCGAGTCATTGGGGATGTAGATCATGCTGGTGTCTTCAATTTTGTAGATGGCGTGGCCACCGATGTCAGCCATCTTTCTGCGTTTGGTGATCAACACAATGTAGTACCCCTCCAGGAAACGTACAAACCCTGTTAAGAGAAACAAATTCACCACACAATGGAGTTGAACTCTGCTCTCCTGATGGAACGTCCTGTGTTTTGTGGCCAGTTATAAAAACAAAAAGACAAGATCAAATCCATAAATGTGTGAAGACAAAAAAGATCCTGAAAGGAGCTACTGGGCATTCATCTGATCAACTCACATTACAAATGAGCTGATATATTCAAATTTGCAGATTAGGTATTTTTAAATGCTAAATAAGCCAGCTATAACCCTGTATTAGAAAAGCCTCCCCTTCCGAAGTCCACTTAATATTGTTTCAACTGTGGCTTTGCTGACTGACAATTTCTTCATCGGTTCATTTTGTATCTTCTTGCCAGAGATGGGTCAGACTGACAAAATCTGACAGATGAAAGTGAATAAAAATATACTTAGAATAATGGTACTCATTATATACTGCAATTAGAAAGGTGACTCTCAGGATGCACTGTACCCTACATGGCTGCATTGCTATTTTTATTCCATGTGACACTGACTTTTTCAAAAAGCAGCTTGTGAACAAGCATGGCATTAAGATATTGTGGGGGAAAAGCATGTCTATTATTTATGTAGATGTCAAAGTCAGAATCTGTCTGTGTCAGTGTGACCAGTCCCAACAATCATGCTAAATTTGATCATAAATGTAGGCCTATTATATCACTTATTTAAAAGGCTGCATTTTATCTTGGATTATGCCCTGAAAGAGCTTTGCCAATATTAGTTTGCAATTGCTTGTACCTTTGTTATCCAAAAATGAACATGTACACGCACACGCAGAGGATGAACTGCAGTAGAATGCAAGACATTTGCAACTGTCAGGTATTTTTAGACAGAGCTGCAGTGTGGTCTAGTGACTTCAGCTCTAAGCTGAGCAGACAGCCAACTGTTCCTTGCACAGATTCCATACTGCATGACACTCTGCATTACTGTACAGACTAGAAATATTATAACACAATATGTGTGTTGGCTCCAAACATCCATCCATCCAAAATATCTTAACAACTACTGGATGGATTAAGGTAAAACTTTGCACAGCCATTCATGGTTCCCTGAGGATGAATCCTAATACACTTCAGAAAGCCGCTGACTTTTTCTCTAATGCTATCATGAACAAAATATTTGTGGTCTGGGGTGAAATACTGCATCTCCACCTCTACTGACTGGAGTAAAACAAGATTTGGAACACTGATATTTGTGTCCCCAAAGGGGGACCTCTTACCTTTACTCTTTTGCATTAAAATACTGAAATATTTTTAATTTGCCGACATTCCACAAAAAGAAATGTGGAAAGTTTCTTGATGCGTCTGACAACAGCAGTGATGGTCATTATTTGAAACCTGAAAACTGAACATTATAAGCTTCACAATGGCAGCAGTAGAGGCGATAGCAGAGTTACATTTTAGTGAATTGCATTAAACTGCCAGGTGTTCCTTTTATTTGATGCTTTTTTTCCATGACCTACATTTAAATGTAAAACCAGTTCACCCGCAGCTGTAGAAGTACATGTTGCCATCATCATGCCTCACAATTGTTGTTGCTATGCCGACGAGGGGAAAGTGCAGGAACTGTACTCACCCACGATGCCAAAGGCTGACACAGCCCTGGACAGGCCCGACGAACCCTTTTGGCCAATTTTGGTGCGGTTGCCCAGGTCCAAGCGGCCCAGCAACTCCCAAACCTCTTGCTGGTTGTACACATGCTAGAGGTAAATACACAAAATTACAGTATATAGGGCACTTATATAAAGTGGTAAGCTGTTTCTGTATATTTACCTTATGTGCACAGATTTCATATTGTTCATTTTATCTTGCAACAACAGGAGAAAACAGAGTACAGTGTATTTCTTCCTCAAAAGAAAAGCTGCTGCTTGTGCAGGACTGATTTTTGACTAATAATTTAATTCAAAGCCAGTGAGACTTTTTTCCATGCAACTTTCCTTTGGCACAATCTGAGAGAAATGATGTTTTAAACCTGCTCACCTCCAAATCGTTGTCACATTCTCAAGTATACACACTGTTTAAAAAAAATGCTGTTCTACATTACGCCAAACAAATTAACACGGCTCCCAAGGTCAGGAATGAAAGCTTGGAGTGATGGATATTTAGTCATGGATGCATGGATGCTTTGTAATAACAAAAACATCATAATCATAATTACCCAGAGCACAAACACACAAAATCAGCTCCCTGCTCACTGATCCTTCTAATGAACAGTGGAGAAGAAAAGGAGCTGTCATCCACAATACACTTGGGATAGGCAGAGTGAGTGAGTGAGTGTACAATTTCCCCCCAGGCGTACTGTACTGTATTACATAAGCATATACATTTGCACTACACCAACTCCAGTGGAAACTGTACTTACCTTATCGTCAATTATGACCAGGTCCTTGGGTTCTGTGCGGTCAATCTTCAGGACTCTGTGTTTGGTCTGTGCCTGATTGCTCCCCACCAAAAAATACCTCTGAAATAAATAAATTTAAGGCTATAATACAATACATTTGGTGCAGATTATCACAAGGGCACTTAATGTAGGCTACATCACTTTTTTCATTAGTAAGTGCATACTGATGACATCATATGTGTGTGACTGCATATTATTTAGTACACACTTGTTCTTTCTCATGGACGACTTTCAGTTCCGATTTAGTCTCTAGAACCAATTTTGTGGGAACACAGTAGAATAATTTGTCTCGGAAAAGATGTGTTCAAAATTCAACAAACATGAACAGTCTGTTATTTCAACCCAGCTTTCCAGTGCACAATTCCATTGTTCAAGTCCCACTTTTTTTCTTCTAACATGAATTAGTTCCTCTCCGCAGTAAGCCGTCCAAGCAGAAATTTATTTTTCTGAAGGCTGTAAAATTACACACACAAGGAATCAAATGTAGATGTGTATCATATAATCGTATACATTATGAGATCACACTGTGCATTTGAATTGGAGTAGAAACAGTACAAAGTGCATGTACCTATTTGTTCACCAGGCTACATTTTAATATGTCCCTTGTTAAGATTTGACTTCTTTTAGGTCTCATTATTTTTGTCATACTGGGTTGCAAGATTTCTAAAGACCGTTAAATTGGAACACCATGTATCTGTACAGTATGAAACCATTATAGCCATTTTGTTCTGTTCCACACTTCCCAGTATCCTAGTGAGCTCTTGTCATTCACAATTGTTAAGACAGTCCACTTACAACTGTTCAGTAAAATGGGTGGACAGAGATTCAATTAGAAATGATGATAATGCAACTGTGACAGATGTTTTCCTGCTTTTAGCTATTGTATAAATGTTTGTGACTAATACTGACAGACAGAACACTAGGGTAATCTTGAGAAATTACAAGAACATTGCACTGGGAAAACAAAACAGCATGCAATTTGGATAGTAGGAAAGAAGATTCACAACAACTTGACTCTCAACTGCACACATTTACTGTATATCAAGTGTGTATAACACTAAACTAATATCTACAAGTAGTTTTGTCAAGCAGAGCGTAACTATCATTACTCTCAAGGCAATTCCTTATGCAAAACCATATAACTGAGAGAGGTCATGGTAACCGGGTAGAAGACTGGGATATACCTGGATCCGGAAATAATCACAAACATTTTTTGCTGCCATCTAGTGTTTGCTGACAAGTACTCATAATCCTACAAGAATCCACCCCACACTATACATCCATGGACTTCATGAATGTTAAAATCATAGAATAAGAAAAAAAATTCTTGCATCAGCGTAACGGGAAACCCATCACTGGAAGGCATATCTCAGCAGGAGCAATGACTCTTTATAGAAAGTGACTTTGGCCATTCGAAATGGAGATGAATGTCAACGATTTGAATACCCTGACTGGGAAAATATGTTCTGAATATTTAGTGAGAAGGTGTCCCCCAGCAAGACACGTCCTTCTTCCATTTCTGGACAACGGGTCCATCTATTAAAACTGTGTTTCTACCCCTCTGTGGTTGTGGTTAGGATAAGGTGAACGTTCAGTCAATCGAGTTCAGGTTAGGGGAAACACGTTTCGACGGGGGGGACAGATCTCGACACAACACCGGTATAGCACTAGAGTTGCCAAGTAATTCACAGAATTAATGGTGGCTACTTGCACCCAACAAGTTGTAACTTATGTACAAGCTCTGGTTTCATACAGATCCACCCTCTGGATCCCACTGATGATAGCCGCTGACTGAGGCATTTATTCTTGTAAAGTTACTTTCCAAACATCCGCAACCCATAGGAGACAACAGAAGAGCTGCAAAGTGAATGTTAACACAATATGTAAATCCATTACATTGCATCACATCATACAATCCAACAAAAACAACGTATACATCTTAATTTGGCCCTGAGCGTTTCATAGCTAACGCTAACATCACTCACCTTTTATTTAGGTAGCTGCGTTAGCCACAAATAATCCCCGAGACTGATAATATGCATTTTCTGTGACAGTCTAAACAACTACAATGAAGGCTGTCGATTTATTAAATGTACCTGTAACCTATCCAGGTATTTTCAAATGGTATTTAGGAGCATGAAACACAAAACCGCTTTAGTCATGTGACAGCCTAGTTCGAGCGAACTTGTGTCAGCTGATACGGTGCCTCGCAGAGTCAAAAAGTTCGCAGGACTAGAAATATGATTATTACCGGGCACAGTCAATGTTCGTCTGTGCTCGTCTCGCTCGCAGATGCGGCTGTAAGAGTTTATCATTGTTAATGATTAAGATACACACACTTCTAATAGCCAGCAAACATACTGTTGTGTATAAATTAGCTAGCGACAGCATGAACTAGTTACAACACGATACTCAATCCCCACCCCCGGCCCCCCTTTAGTTTGTTAGTTGCTATGGTAACCAAATTGGATGACTGTTGACAACGGATGTTAAAAGCTTGATGAAAGTTTAAACAGGTTACAAAAGTGGAAAGAGATGGCCTAAAACAACGGTAGTATATGGTAGCTAATGGACACGTTATCATTAACAGGCCTAGTTAGCCCTAGTGTAGGTTATGACAGGATGTTACAAGTGACAGTTTGATATTGTAGTTCGCTATTGTGTTTATGGCTTGTAATTATTAGCTCTAATGGACCATTTTGTGGACAACCTAATAGAAGATGAAGCGGAGAGGGAGAATCTTCTTGCCAAACCCACCTGCTTCATCATAGTTGGAAGCCCGGTAGGTTCTTTCTTTCAGCACAACATGATCAGAAATGGTTTCCAAGAAGTAGGCTAGTGTTTCAATACCCCCTTCACATGGTGAAAACGGGGAATGGATAAAAAAATGTAATGTGGATATACTGTAGGGCTACTGTAAGTGACAACATTTCCATCACAGATCTTCTTCAACTGAAGGTGAACCGTTTCACTGGACAGTAGCCCACAAATGGTGTGTGTCTTAATGTTCAGGCTATAAGAATAAAATTAACACTGCTTGGTGCAGTAGAAGTTTCCAGGTCCCAGGCTCTGCTCCCTGACCTCAGATATGGAGAGTGTTGCCAACAATTTAACCAGAGCACCAAATACACAGTGGCTGCATATCAAGTGTATGGTATTTTTTTTGTGACAGGGTGTTGGCAAATCCACCTTGGCCAAAAAACTTGCAGAGTCCTGGAAGTGTATCTTGATTGATGGTAAGTACATTTTGTACTCGCTGGGCATTGTACCATATCGATGCACATCAACTCAGATTTCTCATCTGGTTTCACAATATTGCAGATACAGATCTGCTCAAAACACACATACAAAATAAGACAAAGCAAGGCATAGAGGTGAGTAATACAGTTATCAATGCACAGGGCAATTAACTGTCCCTTTTTTACATCATATGTTTTCATGTTCTTCATAGACATTTTGGCCTCTGAATCCCCTTATCTGACCATTTTAGCTCTTAGATATCTTATCTGAGGGGAGAAGCATACCAGAAGACATGGTGTTGCAACTGATTCTTGCCAGGCTTAGTTCACCAGATGTGGAGCACTATGGTAAATCATGTACTCAATGTTTATGTAATCAGGCTCAGTACTGTGATCATGCATGCAAATGTTTGTGGAGTGTAATTAAGTTTAAAAGAATAAATGTGTTATACAGCCAACAGTGCAAAGCAACTAAATGTGAGCTCTGCCACCGCTTGTATTTCATGGCTCAATGTGTTGTGATACAGGATATGTGCTGAGCTGTGTGCCGTTCATGTCAGAAGAGTGTCTGAAGATTCATGAGCAGATTGAACTGATCAAAAACCTCAAGCAAACACCTGATTTCATCATTAATATCAAGGTTAACATCAAATCTCCTGTTTAGAGTTGTTCATTGCATCCTTTTATATGTTCTGTATAGTTTGAGGCAGTAATTTATACTTGCTTTCAAATTAGCAATATCTGATGTTTATATGAAATGTGTCAATATATAGTTTAATTATGAACTTTACATTCCCATCTCTCCCATCAGTGTCCAGACAAGGACTTGGCCCAGAGGCTGTCAGACCTGAGGCAGAACCCAGAGACAGGGCAGCTGTACAACAAGGATCAGCTGAAGCATGAAGAGCTGTATAGCAAGAAGAAAGAAAGCAAGAAAAAGGAAGTGGAGGATGAGGAGGACAAGGAGGAGCAGGTATGGCTCAAGGAAACACACCTCTTACCACTAGGTTTATCTTTTCCTTTCTTGTTAGAGTCACTGCTGGGATTTGCTGGGTTGTGATTGTATTTCAGTGATTAGTATACAATTATTATTATTTTCAGCAATCTCCCATTTTGTTATGTTGTATTATGTGGAGACAGCAAATTGTTTTATCCTCATTACAGCCTTAAACAAGAAAGCTGTTGCACCATGATTTCCTATGATACTAATAAATCATTTTGCTTGCAGGATGCAGAAGAAGAACTCCCAAAGGATGTTACTGAGCAGATGGTGTGGACACCAGAGAATCGGTTCAGAAATGCTTTTCTAAGAATCGACATGTACAAGAATAGCATCCTCAGACCACTGGAAGTGAGTTACCTGTTTCACACATTAATTAAGAAGTTAAATAGGCATGTAATAATCCATACATAATGCAGCCATTAGTTGAGCAAATCATTTGAAAGGAGTCATCCATTGCTTGTACAACATTAAGCATGGGCTTTGTCTTTGGATTGTGGGCAGTCAAATGAAACATTTCAAACAGCAGTAATGGTGCGACCAAGGTCATCGCTCTTACATGCCGGAGTGGTGATCCAAATTACATTTTTGGATCAGATACTAACCTAAAATGTTGGTGGTATTCAACAGATGAACACAGTCTAACCTGTAGGTTTTGTGGTTAATGACCAATTTTATTGTAAAGCTTCTGTTTTCATTAAAATCAGATACAGGTTTAAATTAATTCCACCTCCGACAAAAGTAAAAACACTCACACTGAAACTTTCACTGCATCAGTAAATTCAAGTTAATTTATATTTTTTCAGGACTACATGTCAAACCACAACCCCCTGTACCTGTTGGAGCTAGACGGAAACAAAACACCTGAGGAGCTGCACTTGGTAAAGATACTAAGTATAAATTAACTGTGTTCGGTACATAGATGTTGTGGTATTATGAACTACATAATAAACAATAAGATTTTGCACATCATATGCTGTTGAATTGATTGTGTCACCGTAGCAAGTTTTTAATTAAAAGGCAGTGTTATTTTGGTGCTGGCTTAAACGTGAGAGAGTAGTGCTGTCTGTGTGAAGCATGCACGTGTTTGAGTGTAAACGTGCATGTTCCACTACTGACATTAGTTTGTTTATTGCTTTGTCTGTAGTCAGTTATGTCTCGTCTTGGATCCATGGCAATAAAACGTGTCTCCATTCCCATCCTCCTCAGTCAGACTGATCATGAAGAACCTCCTGAAGACATTGACACGGTCTGTCATTAGTCATCATGGCCATGTTTTATTTCTATAATTGTATTCCTGTTGTATTTCAAACAACTCAAATTTAACTATAAACAATTAGGTGGTACTAATGCAACAACAGTGTCACCTGTTCTGCTGTTTTAAAATGTATGAATAAAGCAATAACAGTTATTTTTTTAGCTTTTTCCATTGAATCCACTATTCATTTCACTAGAAGTAGTTTAATCCCTAGTCTGTGCCTTTTCCAGGAGGACCTACTGAGAATGATGTCCTCCTGTAGGGCAGTGGCCCCTGGCTTTAGGTGGAGAAGAAGCCGCTGGGGCCGAACCTGTCCTGTTGCTCTGAAGGAGGGCAAGGTTATTCCTGGCAAGCCTGGATTCTCTGTGGGGTGAGTGCTGCTTTGTAGGCTATGGTCAGGTGAGGAATTGGTCCAAAATGTTTATAGTGAGACCTGGTGAAAGTGTCAACCAACTCTCATCTCAACCACTTTACAGCTTCCAGGACAAACTGTACATCCTTTCATCTCATGAGGCCTACCTGAAATTTGTCATGAACCCCAGACGATACCTAATCCCTCCAATGCCCAGGCCCCCTTGCAGGGTTTCCATCATTGGTCCTCCTCAGGCAGGGAAGAGCACTCTATGCAAACTTCTAGCTCAGCACTACAGCGCATTGGTTCTGGACATGGAGGAACTGGTGCAGCCGGTTCTGGCCCAGATTGAGCAAGACAGGCTGGAGAAAGTCAAAGAGGAGACGAGACGGGTCGCTATGGAAAAAATCAAGATTAACATGGAGCAGGCTGGTGAACAGATTTCAGGTGAGTTTAGCTTTGTGGATGATTATTTTCACCTGTATAATCATAGTGTTTTTTTACATAAAACAAGCACAACAATTGATTTTTGTAATAACTCTAACATAATGTGCCATAGCTTAATAACTGTTTGACTACAAAACGTATTTTCACACCTCAAATCTTGAAATTAGCATCCAGTATGAAGTATTTTATACAGCACTCTGTGTATTGTCATATTTGAATTGATCTTGTGATATTTTATTTCCTCAGATGAAACCAACTCTGTAGAAGGTAGGATGTTAAAATGCTGTCTTTACTATCACGTTTGCACACAGACATAGATGAATGATTTTTTTTAACTTATAATGTAAATATCATAGAGCAGTCTAATGGTGCCAGATTGTGTCCCACTGCTTTTCAGTGTGAGACTCTTGAATTTGTCTGCTAATGTTTTCTGCTCATAGTGACAGAAGATAATCCAGAGGTGCAAGCCATGGTGCTTAGTGCACTGGAGGAAACGAAACAACTGAGCACCTCTCCCCTAAGCCTGTATGCAGAGGTACTGGAGAACCATATGAAAGAGGTATGTCAAAAATCTAAAACATGGCTACTGCAAACACAAGCGTTCTGGGTCTAAAAATGTTTGTGTACATATCAATATACTATACTTTTTCTGTGCAGGCCACCAAACCCTCTGCAACTTTATTTGAACCCATTGTTAGACTTGTTTTGGTTTATTGAATGTATGAAACCACTTATGTTAAATATACAGTAAATGTTACTATTTGATGTTGAAAACAGATTTTCATCCTCAGACTTTTGGTATGACACTTGGTAAAGCTTGGTTACTGACAGCATGAAACACTAAATGAGAACAAGTTTAACACTTAGACATGAACATCAGTTCTCATTTGATCTGGTGCAAAAACTGTGGTGTTGCTGATGTTACAGATTGAAGGGGCAGACCCTGATAAGGTCAGGATTGGCTGGGTGCTTGACAACTTTCCCACAAGCGTCTTACAAATGAATGCTTTACAGCAAGCCAAGATGATGCCAGATGTCCTCTTCTGCCTCAAAGACAGTGATGAACATGAAAGTAGGATACATACAAACACAGCAATCACAGACAAGAGTTGTTTTATTTAAATATAAGGTTCTGTCAGTGTTCTTTCAGCATTACACTTCAATGCATTGAACAGTTTTGAAGAGAATGTATCAGATGAACAAGGAGAGTGTGGACAAGGCAGTAAGGAAGAGGCTCCAGGATGAGCAGTCTGAGAAGCAAAGAGAGGCCTTGTAAGTGAAGATAAAATACTGTAAACTTTTGCAGTTATACAGTATGTGAGCAGGATTGTAATGCCACAGTTGTTTTAGTGCTCGTTTCTCTCCATTTTAGAAACCAAAAGGAAGACGAATCAGAGGTCCATTTAAATCTAGAGACTGTCGAAAAGGCTGATGGTATGTATTACCTACCTGTGAACCAGCCTCAATTCACACACCCTCTTTGAGTTGAACATTTTTTTAATCAGCATTTTTTTTATTGCATTGTTTCTTTGCAGGACATCCTGATGAATCTGCCACCACCGGCCATGCACATCCTGACAATATCAACCAGGAAGGTGAGCCATTTTACATACTACCATTTCTCACTTACAAGAAAGAAAAACTTTCACTCATCTCTGAGTATTACAAACTATAGTATGTTTACATGGTACAAAAGGAGCACCATACTGAAAAAAATGTTTGGCCCCTCTATAACTCTCTCCCCTCTGTTGCTCTAGCAGTTGTACTACCTGATCACTGGGAGTTGGGTTATCCAGACGGCCCAGAGATGAATGAGTGTAAACTGCAGTTGCAACAGTTTGTGTCTAAATGGGAGCAAATGCAGTCTACTCTAACCGTCAACTACTCAGTTCTGGAGATTGGTAGCAAAAGCCCTGAGGACCTGGTTCAAGAGATGGTGCTTCAGATGGAAAGTAAGTGTAAAACTTCCAAGTATCAGTCACAGTCTAGAATGGCTATTAAAATAATTTGTCTTTTTAATGTTTTGTCTTAATTACTAGCTACTCAGACTTAGATTTATACAATACTGTACATCCCACAATAACAAATACATTCGTTATATTTTCCTGTCATTACTTAAAAGGGGTTTAGCCTACACAGTTATGAAATTATAATACATTAAGTTAGTTTTGACTATGAATTATACTTACTGTATGGCAGATGTTTTTAAATTGATGATAGGATATCAGTGATTTCCTCAACAAAGTGATTCAACCAAAAAAAAAAAAAAAAAAAAAAAAAAAAAAAAAAAAAGCCCACACCATC